TACTCATGTAAAAGTATCCTGTCACAGTCACTTGGGGTTAAAGCGCTGTGTTCCTAAGCAGAAGGCAGTAATCGTGGAGATGGGGACTTTGGATGGCAGCTCCTCATACTGAAAAGAGATTCCTATCAATATTTTAGCACACATTTGGGTCATGCATGCATTACTTTCATTAACCCGTATTTGGCCCATTCAGAAGCACAAACTTGGCTATTTTAAGCTTCTCAACGCCCCCCTTGTGTTTTCAACCTACTGGTTTATTGCTTAAGTTGAGGTGCTCCACATTTTTCCCCAAGTTACTCCGCAACAGAGGTAGAAAGACTCTTGCTGAGCCACTTAACTTTCAAAACACAAACAATTATTTATATCATGAAATCCATCTAACTTGTTATTCACTGTCAATACATTCTGGTTTGATCACTATTTTTCTCATGTTTTTGACCTCTGTTTAGATTTTTCAGACCAAAAAGCATCAAATAGTGACTCACAAGGCTCTTTCTGACAAGTATGTAGATGTTTCTAATAACATTGAAGACGCTATATTATTTCACATAATGTTACTTTTACAAGACTCTCTGTTGGTTCATGTTTTATTTAAACAAGAAAAAAGTAGTAAGTAAGTAATCTTTATTTATATACCGCCTTTTCACTGCACATCAGAGTCTCAAAGCGGTTTACAATTGGTATTTTTTGGGCAGGGGCCCCAGTACAGGAGGCGCATGCCAGATCAATTGGGCATGTTTTTAGTGGTAGGGGAAACCGGAGTACCCGGAGGAAACCTACGCAGACACGGGGAGAACATGCAAACTCCACTCAGAAAGGCCCTGGTCCAACCGGGATTTGAACCCAGAACCTTCTTGCTGAGAGGCAAGAGTGCTATCCACTCAGCCACCGTGCCGCCCAAGTACAGTACCCCCCCAGCTTTAACTAAAAATATAGATAAAAAATGTTTTAAAATAATACTCTTTAGTTTTGTTAATGTACCCACATAAAAAAGTACAATGCATTTTAGTTGAATAAACAACTAACATTTTAAACAGCATTATACCATTGAACACATGTTTTATACAACAGAGAATATTACGTATATTACACTGCAAAATATGTAGAACTTAAGTCTAATGATTATCTGGAACGTGAAGCACAACCAACTCATTAATGTAGAAGCATGGCTAATCACTTCAAACTTAATTTTATGTTGCATTGCCGTCTGCAAAGCAATCTGTCATTTTATAGTGTAAAGAGTAATAAGTACACACAGTTAGGTTTAATTGAAGTAAAAGTAAGAAAAATACCAATAATAAGTGAGTTGAGTACAGTACTTGAGTAAAAATACATGAAACCTGTTCTCCTAAGTCCCACCTATACCAAACATTTGCAATCATATTCAAGACTGATGGGACAAACTTGGACAGAGCTAGTTTTATATCCAACACGACACGTCAATGGTGTCGCAAGTATCATGCGGCAGTAAAAAGCATGTCACTTTGCTGGCCTTTTTGTAATGTGTGAGGTATACTTATGGCTCTTGGGGTTTTATCTTGATTGCGGCTAATACCAAAAGCACAGACGAACAAGGAAAAACCATTTAGGTTAGTGTTGCAGACTGCCGGCGTGTATTTGTGCCGTCTGTAGAAATCTCTTCCAAGCACAAGTCAATGTAACGGGGATAAATGCGCTGCAACACCTTCGTCATTTACCCCCGATGGACTCCAGCCTGACGTGAGGACAGCGCTCATTTTGACTCAAATTGGGCAATTATGTGGTTGAATTTCTGAAAGGTTTGCAGGCTAGACTTTAATGTTTTTTTGTTTACCATTTTCTAGTTATGTGATTAAATTCCGTGAATATAATCAAACTAATTGTATCCGTGGCATAGACAGTAGTTTATGTGTTATCAATCTGGAACAGAAATGTTATTGCTAGGACTGTTGTGAAGAGTTTCTCATTGCTTATCTTAGTTGCATCTGTGTAATGTTAAAAATACGTTATAATTCTCTCTGTTCTCCCAGACACAAGACCATCACTGTCTGTGCGTCTCTATTGTATTAGACACAGCAATTGTTGAGCTTTGCAGGAGAAAGCTGGGCTCAATCCTTCAGCGTATCTCGACATGGCTGATGTACTTGAGTTTAAAATAGGAACCCATGCATTTGTGCTTGTGCAGCCCAAGAGGATACTCTGCTACTTTCAAGGACAAACTGTGTCCTCCGACGTTCAGGCGCAGGAATAAAACTGCTGATATAAGCACTTTTGGTTGTCATTGTTTTAAAATAGGGCTGTGCATGGTGTGGTAAAAAAGGCAAAGCAAATATTGTGTACATGTTGGACTCTGATTACAATTGTTGCTGCTTTGATTTCAAGATGCAATTATTGAAGTTATTTGCAAAAAAGGGACTAAAAATAAGACACATTTGTTTTGTCTTATTTGAGTGTATTTTGAAGATTGAAGATGTCAGTGGAACAAGTATCTTTTGTCTTGTTGTTGGGCAGAATCACTGTTTTCCCAGTCCAAATGACACTCTGGTCTGACTGGTGGAGTTTAGCTGAACATTTGTGTACCTATATTTCTACTACAAACAAAATGGTTAGTAATTAGGTACTTGCTACATATGTATGCTTTTCATATATATTGTAGTTCTTTTTACTCAAAATGAGACTATTTAATTCATCGGATATGGAACATCGCATTTGCAATGTAGGTCAGAAATATCACGATTAATTATTTTGACAATAATTTGCATCCCTAATATGGAACAGAACAAAATATCAGAGAAAAACTTCAAAAGAGTCGAGAATAGAGCATTACTGAAACTTAATAGGGACTGAACCAAAACTAAACCAAGACTAAATCTTGTACCTTCCTCTTTCTAACTTAGTCTTTCAACTCTCCTATGCAAACGTGAAACTAATTGTCTTACAAATGACTTCATTTGCAGTTACAGCCCACATAGACTGTAAAAGGGATTCGTGTCAGACATCAAGTCTATTCCCCATTGTGTAATCTCAAGTCTTACTGCTACAGCAGCTTGGCTTGTGTGAGATGTCATTGCATGTGTGAAATTATCTGCACATCTGCCCCTAGTGCTGTAATTTCCGTCATTACCATCTGTTAAGACCTGGTTCAAAGCACAAAGATATGCCTCCATCTTTTTTATGAACTCAAAATAGTGCGAAAAAATGTCACACAAAGTCTAATTGCCGTAAATGAATAGATGTTTTGTGTTAATTCATTCCCACATAAAGTCTTTTGGGAACATGTTAACAATTTAGGTCAGCAATATGACGATTTTTATAGCTGAACTGAATGTGCCATGTTTTTAGGTCATCTTGAAAGTCTATAATCTTTATTTAAGATCATCATTCTTGTGCCATACACTTTGTCTGCATACAGCCTCTACAAGTACTAGTGCTCTAAATATTACATGTACAGCATCATAAAGTTCACTAGATACGACCACCATTTACTACTACTTTAATCTTATAATTACAAGATCTGGCGATTTAAGAAATGTCCTTGAAAACCTGTATTAAAGGCAGTTGTGAATGAGCAACCCTTGTCAAGCCATCAGCAGTATAACTATAATTGATAACTCAGAGATAAAATATAATGTTGGGTCAGGGTACTTTAAATAAACCCTGCATTGAATAACAATCTGATATACTTCATCCAATCGTTCAAGAATCAATATTTACCTTTTCTTTTTTATCTTTTTTTCAGGTCGGACTACTCCATTGAGGATTCTCCCTGGACTCTGATGCAGTATGTTTTGAATATGGGGCTCATATTCCTGAGTTAAATTCCAAAATGGCCTTTCCAGTGATTGGAGACACCGGCTCCTACCACCACCCATCCTCTCCTCCGCAGTGAACACGACCACACGAGGTAATGAGGAAGATCCTCCAATGCCGCCCCTCGTCTCTACCTGCGGGATATGAGTGTTTCGTGCCCGGACACTAAATCTATCCTTGTGGGAACAGTGGGAGGCCAAGACGAATCCTCCAAAGTCATGCAGTCAGAAGAGTTGTTCAGCCGAAAACTGAAATCACTCAATGGCAGCATGGGACCACCAACTGCTAACATGCAAGGAAAGCCTGACAAAACCAACGGGAATCCAGCTATGCCTAAAATGGGAGTGAGGGCCAGGGTGTCCGATTGGCCCCCCAGGAAAGATTGGGATGGTCGACCTTCACCAAACTATCAAAGCGTCATACCTGTTTTTCAAAATGGACAAGAGCATATGATGGAAATGGGAGAAGGAGAACAGGGTTGCGATGATATAGACTATTCTGATAAATACACAATAGATGAACTTTTGTGCCACTCTCCGCTTAAGGGACTCCACCCCATTCGCCAACGGAGCAACAGCGACGTGACGATTAGCGACATCGATTCAGAAGATGTAGTTGATCAGACTGCAGTAAATCCAAACACAGGTGCCTCTTTACATCGTGAATATGGCAGCACCTCATCCATTGACAGACAAGGCCTTACCGGAGAGGGGTTTTTCACCATGCTCAGGGGATATCGAGTCGAAACCATGGACCATCGTAGCATCCCACCAATGGGTTTCCCTGAACTGTTGCGTTGCGATGCGTCTTTGTCTCCGAGTTTGCAAACGGCTGCCCAAATCGCACGGGGAGAAATAGTGCACATTCCTGGGTATGATTACGTGGACAGTTCCCTTCTCTACAGCAGAGAGAGGGAGAAATCATTCATGAGGAGATTGAAGTCTGAGTCATCCGAACCATCGATTTTCAGGAAATTACGGACCATAAAAAGTGAAAGTGATGCTTTGAGGTTGTCTATTGAGGACGACAGAAGGCCGTTGAGTTTTCAGAAGTGCTTTGCTCACTATGACGTCCAAAGCGTATTGTTTAACATCAGCGAGGCAGTGGCAAGTAGGGCTATTTTAAGTCAGCGAAAGAATACAACGACGGGGGCTTCAGCGGCCTCTGCAGGAGCTATAGGAGGGACAGGACTCGGCCTCGGCCTTGGACAAATGCCTGGTCTAGTAGCAGAGAGTGGGGTGCCAGGGTGTAGCAGCTCTAGCGCACCGCTGTTTGAGTCTCCTTTGGGCAGCCGTGAGGACCTGAACCCCAAGGAAAACCTGGACGCCGATGACGGAGATGGTAAGAGCAACAATCTGGTGATGACCTGCCCGCACTTTCGCAACGAGATCGGGGGAGAAGGGGAACGAAAGATCTCCCTGTCCAGAGTCAACAGCGCAAGCTACCCTGGGGTTTCGGAGAGCTGTTCGTTTGAGTCGTCTCTGAGCTCGCATTGCACCAACGCTGGGGTGTCGGTCCTGGAAGTGCCACGGGAGAATCAGCCCATCCACCGAGAGAAAGTGAAGCGATACATCATTGAGCATATTGACTTGGGGGCCTACTACTATCACAAGTTCTTCTATGGAAAAGGTAAGCCAATACAAAACACATAACAACTGTTCGTATAGATTAGCATTATGTGAAGTAGATCGCATGGATGTTTTAGTTTAGATAACTCGCGGGGCAAATTTGTTTAGTGTGCGTTTGTTTCCTACGGGGACATCCAGAGCTTTCAGGGTCAGATGTTGTGACAGCACAGTTATTTTTGTAAGAGCAGATGAAAAAGTGTCCAGGACAATAGCAAGTCTGTGTAGAGAGCAGCGTTTTCACTTCCCGAGGAGAGGAGCGGTCATGTCCTCTCTGTGATATTGGTCTGAACCCCGTAGCGAGGCTGTGATTAGTCATGTGAGCAGGGAGAGGTGAGTGTTCAGTGTCCTGCAGCTGTTCCCCATGGGGCCTCAGAGCCTGAGCACCCAACGAACAAACCACAGGGTCAGCACAACCATTCCAAGTTCAAGCTTTCTCATTAAAACACCTAAATGACCGAGTGGGACCAGTGCCACATTATACTCTGCTATAGTCTCTGCTCGGGGCCAGTGCGCTCTCAGCAGATTGTGTTACAGTCTTAAGCCTCTGCAGATAACAGCTGCTTCACCTTTCACACTGGAGAAGCCTGAACTGTTCTGTGCATTGAAATATGCCTGGCTGCTATGGGTTAAGCTGTAGTCAAGGCTAATGAGGCCAAGAATTCACAATGTCTATTTACAGTGTGCGTGTGCCATAGAAGTGCTTCCAAAATCATTTACTATGTAAGAGTATTCTCAGAGCAGTTATTTGTGTGTTTAACCCCTCGCTGGGCGACCCACAGTGATGTATAATTGAAACGCACCAGTTTACTCTTATGGCTCTGAGGTTATAGCTTTTACAGGGCTGCCTCCACTGCAGTTTGTGGTTATAGCACTTTTTTCCATGAGGTGTTTTATTGGAGAGACAGTCCCGTCATCACCTCTGTCTCCACCTCCAGACTGGTCGCGTGTCACCACTTCAGGGCCAGCTTTTATCAACTTGAGCTGAACATTGATCCCATTGATTGCCCAAAGCCCTAGTTCCCACAGCAACAGGAGTGTTTTCCGCAGGACGTCCTAATGGACACAGTGTTTCCTTCACACCCACAGGCCAAGTCTTGCTACAACAGGTCATAGTCATATGCTATTCAATAACCTACAACCCATGTGCTGTCTTGTGTGACCTTATTCAACACCTCTCTGCAGTCCTGCCATGTCCCGGCCTGCTTCAAATCCTCCATCATTGTCCCCGTCCCGAAGAAGCCCAGGATCACAGGACTCAATGACTACAGACCTGTAGCACTTACGTCTGTCGTCATGAAGTCATTTGAACGCCTGGTTCTCTCCCATCTCAAGTCCTTCACCTCCCCCCTCCTGGACCCCCTGCAGTTCGCCTACAGAGCCAACAGATCTGTAGACGACGCCATTAACCTGGCCCTCCACCACATCCTACAGCACCTGGACTCCCCGGGGACCTACGCCAGGGTCCTGTTCGTGGACTTCAGCTCTGCCTTCAACACAATCCTGCCATCCCTGCTCCAGGACAAGCTTTCCCAGCTCAACGTGCCCGTTTCCACCTGCAGGTGGATCACTGACTTCCTGACGGACAGGAAGCAGCGAGTGCGTCTGGGGAAGAATGTCTCGGACTCTCGGATTATAAATACAGGAGCCCCACAGGGCTGTGTTCTTTCTCCCCTGCTCTTCTCCCTGTACACCAACCACTGCACCTCCAGCCACGACTCCGTGAAGCTGATCAAGTTCGCGGACGACACCACCCTCATTGGACTCATCTCCAACAACGATGAGTCCGCCTACAGGAGGGAGGTGGACCGGCTGGTGTCCTGGTGCAGTGGTAACAACCTGGAGCTGAACGCCCAGAAGACAGTGGAGATGATTGTGGACTTCAGGAAGAGCACTGTCCCCCCGCCCCCACCCTCCCTGATGGACTCCCCCATCACCTCTGTGGAGTCCTTCCGTTTCCTGGGCACCACCATCACCCAGGACCTCAAGTGGGAGCCGACCATCAGCTCCCTCATCAAGAAGGCCCAGCAGAGGATGTACTTCCTGCGGCAGCTCAGGAAAGCCAAGCTGCCTGCACAGATGTTGGTGCAGTTCTACACGGCCATCATCGAGTCCATCCTCACCTCCTCCATCACCGTGTGGTTCGCTGGAGCCACAGTCAGGGACAAACAGAGACTACAGCGCATTGTGCGCTCTGCAGAGGAAGTGATCGGCCGCAGCCTTCCATCGCTGCAGGACCTGTACGTTGCCCGAGCTCGAGGCCGGGCTGGTCGTATCACAGCCGACCCCTCTCACCCTGCACATGGACTATTCCAACCACTCCCCTCAGGCAGGAGGCTGCGGTCCATCAGGACTAGAACCTCCCGCCACAAGAACAGTTTCTTCCCCTCTGCTGTTGGACTCTTGAACACTTCGTAACCTGTCCCCCCGCCCTTTATAAAGTCACTTTACTGCCCATCATACGTCACTTTACTTCACTGTACTGCTGTCACCTTACATTGTGTGCACCATGTGCACTTGTATATTGTAAATAGTAACTGTAACTCTATTTTAAATTTAAATTTATTCTTTAGAAGTGTTTTTTATTCTTATTTTTATTATATCTTTTTGACTGTTGCACTGAGCCAAAGCAATTTCCAAGTCTGTGACCTCCTGTTACTTACGTTGGCAATAAAAATGATTCTGATTCTGATTCTGATTCTGATTAAAGGTTACACAACAAAATTCTAAGATTTTGAATTCAGGACTTTTATAGAATAAAGTAACATATACAATACACAATACAATACAATTTATTCTTGTATAGCCCTAGGTCACAACAGAAGTCATCTCAGAGGACTTAACAAAACCATTGAAATCACCAACACAGGTCAGAGAATCAACAGTTAAAACACATGAAGAATACAGTATAAAGCACACACAGAAGAAAATGTCCATACATGTTGTAGAATGCTAAAGTGTCCTGATCATCACCAATCCTTTCTGTTGGACACTAACTGTCCAACAAGACCCTCCTGCATCGACAAGGAAAAACTCTTAAAAAACCCAGTGGGAAAAAGTGAGAAACCTTGGAGGAGAACTAGGGAAACCCACAGGGAGGGAGACCCATATGAGAAAGGGATCCGCTCCTCCGGACGGACAGACTAATGATCTAGGACCTAAGCTAGCTACAGAACGTGGACCAGTGGACGCTGAACGTGGACAGGTCCGGTGCAGGACCGAAGCACTCCCAGGCGGGTCGGGCGGGGCAGTCCGCAGGTGTAGATGGAAGAGGCCAGGCTCAGAGATCCCGTCATCGTACCATGAAACAGACAATGGGACAACGGGTGAATAGCAATGAACAAACTACAGTCAGAATCCTAAAAATGCTAAACAGATAAAGTAGGAAGGAGGAGAGGATAGTGCTCAAGTTACCATACTTCTCCCAGCAAACTGACTCCCTATGCAGCTTGACTAACACTCTGAGGAGTTTAACCTTCTCCGAGTCTTACCTTCCTAGCCATATGCTAAACTAAAGAGGACTGTTTTAAACCTAGCCTTGAATAAAGAATAACATACAGCATAATATATAACATAATATACAACATAACACAATACATTATTGAATAATATATAACATAATATATAACATAATACAGCATATATATATAATATATACACTACATATTATATATTACCTAATTATATGCTAAATTAAAGTAAAGTGCTTTAAGCCTGGCCTTGAATGTGGAGACCGTATCTGCTTCCTTAACATAAATGGGAAGCTGATTCCACAGTAAAGGAGCTTGGTAGCTAAATGCTCTGCCACCAACAGTGACCTTTGAGACCTTAGGGACCACCAGACGTCTGGCGTTTTGTGAGCGCAACGCTCGACTTGGTTGATACGACACTAACGTGTCTTGGAGATAAGAAGGAGCCAAGCCATTTATGGCTTTATATGTTAAGAGTAGGATTTTAAACTTTATTCTGTACTCCACAGGGAGCCAGTGGAGTGATTTTAACACCGGAGTTATGTGCTCCCTCCTTTTGGTACCTGTTAAGATCCTAGCTGCTGTATTCTGAACGAGCTGGAAGCTCTTCAAAGAGGCTTTAGGGCACGCTGCCAGTAAAGCGTTACAGTAGTCGAGCCTTGAGGTGACAAACGCGTGAATGAGTTTTTCCGCGTCACTTTTAGGAAGGAAATTCCTAATTTTAGCGATGTTCCGTAAGTGGAAGTACGCCGTTTTAGTTGCTTGGCTTATATAAGCCTTGAAGGAGAGTTCTTGGTCAAAAATGACTCCAAGATTCCTCACAGTGTTACTGGGTATTATACTGACATTATCGAGAGTAACCATCTGGTTAGTGAGGGAGTCACGCAGGCGCTTCGGACCGAGTAGGATCACTTCTGTCTTCTCCGGGTTGAGAAGTAGGAAGTTAAGAGTCATCCACATTTTAAGGTCCTTTATGCAGGCACTGAGCTTTTCTAGCTGATCTGTCTGATTAGGCTTCATCGACAGATAAAGCTGTGTGTCATCTGCATAGCAGTGGAAATTAATTCCATGCTTTTTAATAATGTTTCCCAGTGGCAGCATGTAGAGAGTAAAAAGAATCGGTCCGAGTACCGAACCCTGCGGCACACCGAATTCCACTCCAGAATAAGGCGACGAGTCCTGATTCACATTGACGAAGTGATATCGATCTGATAAATAGGATTTAAACCAGCCAAGGGCTGTTCCTCTAAGACCTATATCACATTCTAGCCTCTGCAGTAGAATGCTGTGGTCTATTGTGTCAAATGCAGCACTAAGGTCCAGTAGGACCAGCACTGACACTTGTCCATTATCGGTAGCTAGTAGTAAGTCATTTGTGACTTTGACTAGTGCCGTTTCAGTGCTATGATGAGCTCTGAATCCTGATTGAAAGACTTCAAACATATCATTTTCCTGCAGGTGGCAGCGGAGCTGCTCAGCTATAAGTTTTTCCAGGATTTTAGATATAAAAGTGAGGTTCGAGATCGGTCTGTAGTTTGTAAGTATTTCTGGGTCCAGGTTTGTTTTCTTCAGAAGGGGTTTGATTACCGCGGTTTTAAAAGCTTGTGGGACATAGCCACATTGTAGGGATGCGTTTATTATATTTACGATAGGCTCAATTATCAAAGGAAGTATGTCTTTGAAGAGCCATGTCGGGACTGCGTCTAACATGCAAGTTGAGGCTTTTGAGGATGTGACCACAGAGATCACCTCTGCTTGGCTCACAGCCATGAATTTATTAAGGCCCACTGAAGAGTCTAAGTGGGAAGTCACGTATGCCGCTTCAACCTGTCCACCACTAACAGCAGGAGCAACCTCCTCCAGCTTGTCACGGATGGATGTAATTTTATTATTAAAGAAGTGGAGAAAGTCGACACTGCTCAGTGAGCTTGGAATTTTAGGCTCGATTGCGCTATGGCAGTTTGTGAGTTTAGCGACGGTACCAAACAAAAATCTACTGTTGTTTTTATTCGCTTCTATTAAAGTTGAATAGTATTGAGTTCGAGCCCCGCGAAGGGCCTTCTTGTAGTTTCGGAGACCTGCTTTCCACTCCCTGTGGACAGGCTCCGAGTGGGAGTGGCGATATAGCCTCTCCAATTTTCTGACGTCCTGTTTTAAAGTGTGGAGTTGAACACTGTACCAGGGCGACGATGATCTAATCCTAATGGTTTTCTGTTTTTAAAGGAGCTGCTGCATTTAATGCAGATTTTAAAGACTCCATAGTGTTGCCCACCGTTTGGTCGATGACTGAGGGACTGCAGCTGCTGTGAACAGGTTCACCTGCAGCAGTATTCAACATAGGCTGTATTAGTTCTTTGAACCTTGTGATAGATTTATCATTTAAGGTTCTTTTCATTATGGTTTTATCTTGCGGGACAGGAAAGTCCTCCAAAGCGAGATCAAACGTGATCAAGAAATGGTCAGACAGCAACGAGCTTTGACGCTGGATGTCAACATTGGAGACATCACAGCCGTAGGTCAGGACAAGGTCCAAGGTGTGGTTATGAATGTGAGTAGGTTCCTCGACATTCTGAGTAAAACCAACACCATCTAGTACGGCGCTGAAAGCTTTGTTTAAGCTGTCAGTGCTGTCGTCCACATGTATATTGAAGTCTCCAGCTATAACTATGTTTTCCCATTCCAAAACTAGGTTTGAAATGAAGTCAGAGAATTCTGTTAGGAACTCGCTGTAAGGACCAGGAGGTCGGTATAAAACTATAAATAGTACTGCTTTTTGTTTTCTCCACCCAGGACAGGTGATTGAAAGTGTTAAGTTTTCAAACGAGTGAAAAGCGTTGTTGGTTTTGGGACTAAGAACCAAGTTGGTGTGTGATATAATCGCAACACCACCGCCGCGACCTGTAGCTCTGGCTTTCTGGTAGTTAACATGCGTCGGAGGAGTGCACTCATTCAATCTAACGTACTCGTCCTGTTGGAGCCAAGTCTCCGAGAGCGCTAACAGATCCAAGCCCTTGTCTATAATAAGTTCGTTTATGAGAAGCGATTTAGACGAGATTGATCTGACGTTCATTAAACCACATTTAACAACCCTACTGTTAGAACTATTTCTGTCTGTCTGAACTTTTATTAAGTTACTGTGTCTGACACCTAGGTCAGATTTCCTCGCATATAGTGCTTTAGACTTCAAGCGGGGAACACACACAGTTTCAATCTGACTAGGGTCTGAGGCTAGTAACTGAGCACACACAGGCACACACACACATGCACACACAGTTTTAATCTGACTAGCTTCTGAGGCTAGTAACCGAACAGATGGGGGCTCAGAGGTTGTGGCAGAGCAGCTCTGCACCCGGGCCTCAGTTCTGCATCGTCATTTGAGCCGAGCAGAACAGTTTAGAGCCAGGGCCAAATTCTTAGCCAAAAGGGATGTACCCGCCAACGTTGGGTGGATATCATCCGAGCGGATGAGACCGGGCTTTCCCCAAAAGGCACTCCAATTGTCAACATGAACAACACCACTTCGAGGGCACCAGCCAGACAGCCAGCGGTTGAAAGCCGAGTGTCTGCTGAATGCTTCTGCACTGCTAGTGCTAGGTAGGGGCCCAGAGAAGATGACAGTGTCGGCCATTGTGCTAGCCAGCTTGCACACGGCGGCGACTTGCAGCTTCAACACCTCGGACTGTTTCCGCCGAACGTCATTACCACCCGCGTGAATAACAATTCGACGGAAACGCTGCTTGTGGGTCATCATGAGCCTCAGATTCCCTTCAATATCACCAAGCCTGGCCCCAGGGAAGCACCGAACAGTGGCTCCTGGGATCTTAACACCTCTAACAATAGAGGATCCAATTACCAGCGCATCAGCGACTCCATCGGCTCTCTCAGCAGCTCTCTCAGCGGCTCTCTCAGTGGGGCCTTCTTCCCCGCCCGGCCGCGCGGGGGCGCAGCCGGACAGAGCGTCCCAGCGATTGTAAATGCTAACAGGAGGAGGCCCAATGGGGAAACTACCAACAACACGTCGCCCTCTCCGAACAGTCACAAAGCCATCACTATCCTGGTCTTGTCCCAGCTGCGGAGGACGGGCTGGGAGGCTAGGCTCGCTAGTTCTCCTCTGCCTTTCCCTAAAGCTGCGCTCCGCTGTCCCTGAGGATACGGCCTGGCTGTAGCTAATGCTAGCGCTAGCTCGAGACTCCAGTGCTCGGAGACGCAGCTCTAACTCACTGACCCTGGATTCCAGAGCTACGACTACACTACACTTCACACATCTATCACTACCCTCAGAGAAGGATCCAGGGTTTAGACTCGCCATATGGCAACTCGAGCAGTAAAGGACTGAGGGAGAGACAGCAGCCGCCATAGTAGCGAGTTAGCGGCTAGGCTAGGCTAAGCTAGGCTAGGCTAAGCTAGTACGGATCCGGGCCCGCACAACAGACTCCGAGACCAGACAAACAACCGCTACCTAAACCTCAGCTACAGTACAGCTGACTCGGAGTGCTTACACAGTTAGCTTGGTGTACAATACGTGGATTTGTAATGTGTTTGTTAGTGCAAACAGAGAGCAGAGTGATAGCAGTCAAGAAACACGCTCACCGGATACAGGAAGTCACCACTGCATATATTTGCAACGACATTTAAAGTAATTAGTGTCAGAACCTTTTGGCAGCAGTCGGCCCCAGTGTGAGCGGTGACAAGTGTGTGTAACAGGAGCAGGCTGATGAAACACTTCCTCTGCACTCCGAGTGTGTGGGTGTCACACAAAGTCTTATGCTTGGACAGGCCTCCCACCATCATTTGACCTCATGCACCACAGCGCATTGTGCCCTGGTCCATAGCCACCTCCAGCCATGCATTCACACAACCGTTATAGTGACCGCCTCAGAGGTTTACTACCTCCTCTTAGTTATTCATGCATGTATGTGCACGGCCCTAATGTTTATATCACAGTGACAGGGACATTCACATTTACATTGATACGCCACATTGCAGAGTGTTTTAAAGCCACACAGGGCTGTACGTGTGCCGAGCGTCGTTCTCCTTTGAGGGTTTCTTTGTTGTTTTATGAATCCCTGTCTTTCTCCCAGCTTTTCTGTGGATTAGGGACTGTTTGCTTAAGGCACCGCTCGGAGTGTGCACAGCCTTCCTCTGTCCATGGCCTAAATATACAAAGATTTTCAGCTATTATTAGACCAATATCAAGCATGTTTACTATGTTTGAGCTTTATAGCTTACTTAAGATTTAGTGCTAATTTACAGTGATTTATGTTTGCTCAGCCGACCAGATTAAGTATACCATGTTTACTTCTTTATTAAAATCAAGGATATCTACTATAGCAAGTACATTTCTGTCACTTGTTAACTCTTCCTAACATGTCAATCGTGATTTTAAAATAGCTATCCAGCTTATGTTTCACTAAATGACACAAAATAGCTCCGCCCTTATGCAGGGGATATCCCAGTGGGTTGGTGTTAACAACTGCATCCGCATTTAAATGTAGTCAGGAAATTTTGTCTTTCTTTCCTCATGTTTCTTCCACTCAGCTGTGTCGAGTGGCCAGTAAAAACATGGTGTGGAAATAGCCATCACCAAAACAACATCTGGCAACATCATGAATATAGAAGAAATCTATTCGTATTTCTTTCTGTCAGGTTTTGTGTGTTTGCGTGCATAGGTCAAAAATTTCATGGAGGACATTTGTCATTTTCTAATTTATCCAAAATCTCAATCTTTCCCTTGTGAGTCACTATGTAATCTCTCTGGTGTCTCTCCAGTTCTACCCATCCGTTTTCCGTTGCAATCATTGTCAACCCCTTTCTTATCTTTCCTCAAGCTCTATTTTTGGTTCCAACAAATCTCTTCCTCATGAAAAATACAGACTTGTTATGAGTAAAGTGAATTTGGTGATGCGATTGACTATGGTCTTTGTGCTTTTAGAACATCAGAACTACTTTGGAGTTGATGAGAACTTGGGACCAGTGGCCGTCAGTGTCCGCAGAGAAAAGCTGGACGAAGGAAGGGAGAAGGAAGGAGCACAATACAACTACAGAGTGACCTTCAGGACGAGCCAGGTAAATCTACATCCAGCTCTTTATCACATCATGCCGTAAAATTATACGTACTTAGAAGACACTGCCTTCTGACAACTTCAATCTGCAATTCTGCTTTTGCATACGGCCGTGTGTGTGGGTAAAATTGACTTGAAGTGCTTCATAATTACTGTACATTTTATCAGCTGAAATGGCTGAATCAACCCTTCAGATCCAAATGAAAAAAAAAAAATATTGTATCAAAATTACCTTTTTTTTATTGAAATAGAAAAAAAGGTATTAGAGGCAAAAGGAGTGACTGAAATTGGCCTCAAAACTAAGAAAAGCACTCAAACCTGGATCTCAATGGGGATCCGGATCAGGCCCAATATTGAATAATTTGTGTCTTTTCCCATTCCAGAAATCTTAATAACCCGTCCATAACCCGTAACAAAAGTATTTTGAGTTGCAGACAAACAAAACCTAATGTTATCTATTTGACCGAGGTAAATATATATTTTTGTTCAACTGAAAGGGCCGACTTTGTGGTCGATGACAAAATACTGAACATATAGCGGTATGCATTTGAATGAAGGGAACGTTAGTCAATCTCCACGCTCTGAACCATACCATAAAGAAATGACTCAAAGGAACACAATTTCCCATCATTGGAATTTATACGACTTACAAATGACTTCGATGTAATTTGTAATAAGTTAAGAAAACAACAGTGCTGATTGGATGCTGTGCTTAAATGCATAAAGTATTTTTTTTTGCAAAGAACTGGCAAAAACTTGCAACGTAAGCTTTATTTTTTGAAGGATATTTATATGAGTTGAGCGAGCCGTGTAGTTGTTACTCAGCATTGGGCTCAGTCATGCAGCTCTAAACAGTCTACTTCAGAGCAAGAGGAGACACAGCAGCAGCCTAGCCCCTATCTGCTCATGGCACCGATGCTTCCACTGAATCCGACAGAACTGGCCATCCGTGCAAACAAAGGTTTATGCCCCAGTCAAAACACGCAGACTAAAATAGTTCTAAGCAGATTTTTTTTTACGACGATTCTATTGAGGGCTGATCTCACATTATACTGTATATCCCAGAATGCCTAAATATAGTATACATTCATTGACAATATTTTTGGATGATTCAGATACAAAGTAACATCAAGGACCACACAATTGTAGTTATGTAAAATTGTTAGACATTCCAAATGGTACTTTTATTTCACGAATGTAGTGAAAGAATTTAGTCCATTTATTTTTAACCGTAAAGGAGTCTCGTGTTTGGTTTCAAGTGGAGGCTTAATCCCATGCTTAATCCCATGCTTTTTTTTTTGCAATTTTTTATCACAAACATTAGAGGTTGGGGGATGGCTAGTAACATATTACAAAAATACAAAACATTGAGTCCACGATTCACATTTGTTGTACCGTCTCTGTACTGTCACCATTTATAAAGTCCAGCCACTTTGCCCAGCGCCTTTTTCCCAGCTCTTCCTGGAGTCGCAAAGAGCTATAATTCATCCGCGGCCATGTTGTTGGGTAAACATCCCATATACAGCAGCAAAACTGAGTTACTGATACCATAGCCTAATGTTTTAGCAATTATATTTTCTAAGTTTGTCCAGAATGACTGAATGAGCGGGCAGGACCAGAAAATGTGTCCGTGATCTGCTGATGCTTCCCCGCATTCTCTCCAGCAGTGTGTTTGAGTAGGGTTGAGTAGAGTTGTCTTAAAATGGCCCTATCCATCTTTCATTTGTTAGTTTGCTTGATTACCAAAAAATACTTAACCTTGTGGCTTTTTAGCATTGAAATTCACTGGTGGTCAAACGGTACAAGCAAAACGACTATATCTCCATGAAGAATAGCTATAAACAGCTTTAATTAAACCTGGGCGACTCCACCACAGCAAACTATTCTTGGATGGATATACTCTGTTCACTTTTTAACTCTGTCTCCCACCTTGGTTAATATGCAGCCCATCACCGATCGCCTCATGACTTAAAATAGGCCGTGTTGTCCCTGCCCTCCTTGTCGTGGGTGGTCTCTGGCATTGAATAATTCAGGTAGAGCAGCCGTGGCAGGCAGAGAAATGTCAGTGATAGCCAGTGCCAGACCTGGTTTACAGCACCACTCCTTCTGAGAGACAAAAGATCTGGGTCACAGCTCAGCGCAAGCACCAACTCCCAAACTCCCACTGTCTATTTGCATGTGGAATTCTTTCATTCAGTTTCAGAACGCCGCGCTGTAACCGGGACTCCCAACTCCAACTCCCATTCCAGCAAAAACATTGGCCATTTGTAGCGATAATAATGCTTAGGTCTTTGCTTGCGTTTACGGTCCCATGCTAAAAGTATTTAAAGTCTTGGTGATGAGACTTTCTTGCTTCCAGGGAGATGTTTACACTTTAGTTGAAATGGGGGTAAAGCGTGTCGGCTAATAATATATTTTATCTTGTGAAAGTAAAACCTGGAAAAGAACAACAACGAAATCTTATTTGACATTATATACTGTATGTTTCTTGGGCTGCATGTAGGTGGTCCTCTCTTTTTCACTTTTCTGTCTGAAAAAGTTGATCTAAAGACTTGAAAGAGGCCAGAATTAAATGCATGCAAAAATTAAAAGAACCAGGCAATTTTGAGAGCAAGAAACTACCGGTGGATAGATTTGAACGTGTATTTTTTTGTGGCTTTAAAGTTACCCCAGCTTTAATGTTAAACGTATCTATCGCCAAGGTGGCCAGCGGCTGAATCCATACTGCATTTCAGATCTGTGGGGAGACTCTCATGCTTCTCCTCACAGAAAGATGGTGTGTACAGCTGTGATTGAAGTAACAGCAAGAGGGATAGGAAAATATTGTGGAACATTTTAGGCAAAAACACGTTTAAGAGAAGATGAAAATATGACGCCTTTTCAATCACTTAGCGACCTGTGTGTCACTCTCATTTTTGCCCAGTTAAGTAATCTGCTTTTCTGAACGTTGGAAGCACTGCTGATGTCTGTGTCCAAAGCTGCAAGTGGATCAAAACCAGATTTATTGGCAAAAACAAGCACCAAACAGTATTCTGGGTCATCGTTTACGGGCACATTAGTGGCTAACGCTCAAACACCACTTAACATTACAATTTCACCACGGCTGCCCGCGGTTTGAAATATTTACAGTCAGAGTTGTTACGGCTCGTCCGCTGAGACATGGTTGAGTCGTCTGGAGTAATATGGCGTGACACAAGATCCTCCACAGAGGAATTTGGAGCAACACTTAAAATGCACAGAAACAAAGGCATTCAAGATTGGTCTCAACAGGAAGATATTTTTGTTTTAATATTGTAGGCCAAGGGAAATGTTGTTGTATAGCACAGAATATACACGGGGAAACTCAAAATACTTGATCTAACAATAATTACAAATATAAGATTTTATTTTATTTAGGAAAGCCCTTTGAGATGCATCATTATACGTACATAACATACACTTGAAATATTTTTTTTTCGAAGAATTAATAAGAGTTGTATGCAAAGCTTAACCTAGACTTGAACATTGTCATAAAAGGAACTTGTCTCACATTTTCAACAAGACTGTTCCTGAATAGGTAAAATTTTAAAGTCAAATCTGAGCACATCTTTTCAGTGTAATTATATGTATCCTTTCCCCAAAAAAATATTCCACCTGCATGACTGCTATGAGTGGTTTTGCACCTTCATGTTGTTCTGGGTCTGAATTAGAGACCCCTTTTCTACAGTTTCTCAAACAAACTCCTTGTTTTAAACTTTCTATTTCCATGGAATCACGCAGACATTGTTAAATCTCCAGAGAGCTGCTTGACACTTTAAGCCACTATAATCTATCCCTTCGGCCTCAGTCTGGATGAATAATTGTCATACGTCTTCCTCATTAGCTGACCACTCTGCGCGGGGCTATTCTGGAGGATGCTATCCCATCCACGGCCCGACACGGCACGGCTCGCGGGCTGCCACTCAAAGAAGTGCTGGAGTACGTGATCCCGGAGCTGAACATCTCCTGTCTGCGACTCGCCAACAACTCTCCCAAAGTCCCGGAGCAGCTCCTCAAACTGGACGAGCAAGGGGTGAGTTTATTTTAGTAGGGATTTTGTATATCATATATCGCAGAACCAATGTCTTGTGCGGTTTGATTTGTCCGCGGTATTTTTAGGATGTAGGAATAGTACTGTTTGTAGCAAAGAGAAAACAGGTCCAGTCTTATGTTAGACCTAATGTAATGGTCATCATGCACATTCATCAATCCTCACCAAAAACACACCTGGAGTTTTAGCTATAACTATGATAATATCAGGAACGTCTTGTAGAAATCGACCAAAACACGTCTCCCTGTCCCTTCTGTCTAAATATGGCCCTATCCCAAAGTTGGTACACTGACAATTCCTTACAGTGTGTTGCAAAGGATAGAGCCAAATTATGTTCTATTACAACATAGCGTTCAATTACACTCTGTTATGTTTGAAATAGTCAAATTTCTGTGTTTTACTGCTTAATATATTTTCTTTTTCCTCTATGCATATACTTTATTGTATATTTTTCTACTCTACATTGTATTTTTCGACAAACAGTGAAAAAATGGCTTTATTTGAAATTTGAGCTACAACAAATGTCTTTCTTCACGTGCTATTTTTGACCCCAACACTGACATTTTTAAGAGCAGTTTTAGTCAAATGAAGAGACTATCTCACACTGGCAAGGCGTTTGTTCAACCATCATTCTTTGTAGCCAAAAATAAAAACAACGCCAAGATCGGTTCAGACAAGTCACGTTTTCTGCCCGTCAAAAGATACATGAATTGTATTAGAGTTTCCACGCTGTGTTTCCAAAGCGCGTTTGTAGCTGTCACTTGTTGCTGCCGTAGACACATGAACAATGGGTTGTAATAACATTCAGTATTGATCTTCTATTAGGGACGCCTTCGTGGGCCCTTTTATTATCCATCAAAACAAACTATATATAATACCATAGCATTAACTTGTAATAGCAGTGATCTTTTCTCTATTTGATTATTTCTATGCCTGGTGTTGGCAGCGCAAACAGTAACAGCCCTTGATAAATAGCCTCAAATTGAATCGATATGAATCCCACACTGTCTGCTCTGACTATTCTGACTTCTCGCCCCATAGTCCACATCTTCCACCTGAAATACTGGGGTTTTCATCTTCAGGCTCGATGGCAGGCCCTGTCACATTACATTATCCCATTTGATAAAAATAGCCATTAGTGATGTGGGCTCTGGATGCAGCAGTGTCAGAGACGGATTCGTTTGGCTGATCCGGTGGCCTTTAATTTCACGTCTAATGAAAACCCAAGATTGAGAGGAGTCAGGGGGATTAGACCGAGCGTGTTTGACTGTCAGAATCAGCTGCTTATTAGCGTAATTAGTAGTATCTGGATTGGTCCTCCTTTCTAAATAACAATTGGTTATATTAAGGTTTTTAATATGATCTTGACAGTCTCTCTACTGCGTCTGGATTTACCGTCAACTTAGCTTAACTAGCATGAATAATTAAGCAATACTAAAACAAACAAACTGTTCTCACTATATCTGGTGTATAAACCCTTTAGTTTGTATACATTCAGACTAAAGGTAGAGCCCTGAAACTGAATGGTGGACTACTAAAATGAACAATGGAAGCAAGAAAAATATGGAAGAAAAATTTAGAGCATTGGTCCCTATAGAGCAGTTGATGGACGCATCTTTGGGATAATGATCAGGACTACCAGAGCTGCAGGATTTTACCTATTGTAGATATTTTTAGCGATATGAGAAACCTACTCGGACATCGGGAGAACGCACAAACTCCCCTCCAGGTTCTGTTCCATCCAGGATTCGAGAGTGCAGGATGGAACAGAACCACTCTGCCAACCAGCCTGGTTTGAAATATCACAATATATTACTGTAGTCTTCATTTTCAATGTCATATTAAACTATTTAGGCATATATTATCGCAGTGTAATATAATCAATATGTTCCTCTTGGTTAAAGTCCAGATAATTGTATCCTTACTCAAATACCACTATTATTAAATTGTTGCCAAGCCTTGTAAACCAGCCAACCAAAGAAAACAAAAGTTCATGCAATAAAGGCCGTACACCTGTTTTTTCACCTGGTTTCATAATATCAAACTATACCATTTAGAAAAACAATCCCATCGAATCCCCCTTTGATATGGATAGGAGCCGGTCCACCTGCTGCACAGCGCCATGCCTTCTCCATGAGGCACTGTCTGCAGATCATGTGGACGCAGGACAGACCCACATTGTGCAAGACTGACCAGAGAAACAAGAAACGTCTATAATAACCGCGAGGAGGAGAGCCAGGTCTAAGTGGAGCTCGGAGCCAAGTGCTACTCCTTTTGTTTCTCTGTTCCTCAGCCTAATGTCCAGTTTTATGTTTTAGCCATCAAGCCTCAGGCCACATCTGGTTATCATTAAGGGAAAGTCTTTTATGTCAGTGTGCGATACAAAGATATGTGACAAAGTTTGAATAAAGCCATGAATCATTAAACAGTTTCAATAAAACAGCTGTAGCAAAGAAAATACTTGTTTATGATTCTAGTTTTGAAATACTGCAGAGAAATATACAAACAAATTAGTATTGAAATTGACTAAATTAACCCGAAGTTGCAGAAGTTCTTCATGAGCTCCTGACTCTATAGGACACTTTCTACTCAGTGATCCATTGCCCTAAATGTTTATTACATATGTTTTTTTTATTTGATTTCAAATGAAAAATAGTTGGCTAAAGGTAAAGATACAATTATGTTTGATTGCTGGTATAGTCATGTCTGTAATTGAACAATTATTTATTTAGTTGACCACTGACCTGGCAAATAAATACATATAATAATGTAAAAAAAGTATGTTTTGCGACAATGGAAGAAGCATCTACCCCTAACAGTCACATTTATACATGTATTTGTAGTTTTGGTGTGAGGTGGAAACAATGTTTTGGTCTAAATAGTCTTCTAATTTACTCTTATCAAGAATCTTAAAAACTATAAATATTACAATACTGAAATTGTCATAGTTTCTTGGCAAAGTCTTGACGACCTTTTGATTTCTATTTGTTTGGACAGAAACATAAGCCTCAAGACAATAAGTAGCGACCCATGTTTTTGTTTCTACATCTTTGCCAAAGAATCTCGCTGTTTTTATATCAGCAGAGGGAGAGATGGAAGCAGATGCATCCTCTTGTCTTCGGTATCTAAATGCATGCACCATTTCCCAGCTTTCCCAGTAGGTAAAAGTGTCCTGGAGCTTTCAAGAAATCCTCTGCCCGAAATAATATCTTCTGAAAGCAATGTTGTGTGGCTGTAAGAGGAGCGGCGCATATGTGAAAGTGTTTTAAATCACCTTGCACATCACGCGACACGGCCTGTTGCAGATGGACTGGCAAATGCATTAGCCCCTCGATTTGGAAACCTGATTTTAAGGCGGCGAAGGCAGTAAATTACACATGAGGAATAGAATACAAAAAACGTGCCTATCCCTCCATCTTTCCTGATGTTTTATCACATAATTCAATTTTAGGCAAAGATGAAAATGTCACGTTTGGCTTTCATTTAGCACTCTGGGTGATTTTAAACGAGATAGAGACGGATAAAGGGTTATTTTTCCTCCGTCTCCTGCTGGTCCCTTTTAGAAGCCATAATTACACTTAATAATATTTCACCATTTCGAGGTCAAGAAGAGCCGCGCGATCTTTCTTTTGTGACGATGCAAAACGCATGACCCCTTTCTTTAACTTTGACCACACTTTTGTGAGGATTTGTGGGGTCATAGCAATTTTCGCTACACAAAAGAACATGGCTAATTTCTCTTGTTGGGCTTTTTATTTAATTAGAATTTTTTGGAAAGCAAAATAATTACGTTGTTGGCTGCTTTTGCAAAGCTCATACATTAGTTAGTGCTGTCGTATTCTGCAGTGTGGTCGAACGGAGCAAAAGGACACCGCTGTTATCCCTCAGGTGAAGCTCTCCGGAGACGAGTTATGCCCCATTTTCTGTCCTTTATTTAGTAACTCCTAGTAATATTGTGACTTCTGCTTTAGCTGCCAGAAGGAAGTCACAATCCAGGGTTTATATATATGTGGATGTCAGATATGTTTTGTTTTCCTTGGTAATGAAGCTTCCGACTTTATATATTCAGTGTCGGTATGAATTCAGTAACTAAAATGTGTATTCTCTTCTCCATACAATACTGCTGAATAGTGCCATTTGCCTCCACTAGGAAAGCACCTATGCAGCTTTTTCGAAACTGATGCTGACTCAAACCAGCATCATATTTGTGAATCCCTCAGTACTACATAACTAGAATCTAAGATAAGAGAGACTTTGTCACACAGGAGACATTTTCATGTCACATTTGTCATAGATCGAATCACTCAGATTTGTGCAACATGTTGAAGTCAAAAAATATAGTCTGTTCAGGATATATTATGTACAATAAAGTGGCAATTAAAGAAACAGTGGCAATAGTAGTGCAGGTTTTTAGTAGTCTAGGTAAGACTGTTCCTGTTTATGGCATGCGACAATGGAGTACTCTAGTTTTATTCTTTATTCACTGAGTTGTTGTATTTGTGGATGGTTATTCAGAAATATGTAAACATATTGGAGCATTATGAGTTAATATATCTAAAGGTCACATAAACAGAAAAGATACAAAATGATGGCTTAGATGACATTTGCAAGTGGTGCAACAAATTGTGGAATCTCCAATATGGAAGTCATCAGGTTTAGAGCAATATTGAAATATATGAACTAAAAAAAAAACAATAATATAAAATTATAATGAAATATTAGCACTAGCAAACAACATAACAATAAACTGTATGCTTTCTTTTGACATTTTTCTTTTTCAACAATCAAAAATGACATGTTCCCAAAATTTTGGCACAGATTATGGCAATGAATATATATAATAGTACATTTTGAAAACACAATATTATTGTCATCTTCTGCTGAATCCTTGTCTCCATAAACATGTAGACACAGCTTTGGTATCTGCTGCTTGTTCCACGGTTGCACTTTTTCAGACAGGGACCCATTCCCTGCTAAAGGCCAGGCGTGTTGTCCTTGCAGTCTGCCAGTTTGTTAAAGAGGTGAGCGAGGTTAAGTGGACCCACATAATCCAGGTAGAAAAAACACTGCATTGTGCCATTTCCGCCAGGCCAAGCGCCGTAATCGCTTTCCATCAAGATCTGGGCTCAGTTACCATGACGACCATCACAAAGGGATTTGACCTGTGCGAGCCCGAAAAGACAATGCAATTTATTTCTGTAGATTATGTGTTACCTTTAACATCAGAGGAGCTCTTTAACCGCTCGACCCAGCGCCACAGGTGCTGGTGACATTCTCAGCAGGTTTTATTCACTTTGAAATGTGCTGTTAGGTCAGGTGTTCAAATAATTAACCCCATCCATCCATCCATCCATTTTCTACCCTTTAATCCATTTCTGGGTCAGGGGGGTGGCAATCAGAGATGCCACCCAAGTCTCATAGCACCAGCCCCTCACTGACCCTCTGCAGGTGGTGAGTCCACAGGAGGACGGCTGCTCTCTGAGCGTGAGCATAGCCTTGATCTTTTCAGCGGGGGCTTTGGGCAAAGCGGGGTTAAGTGTCTTGCCCAAGGACACAACGACAGCAGTCATCAGTGGGAGTCGGTGGAGAAGGTGCAGAGGTGGGAATTGAACCCACGACCTTCAGGCCTTAAGGCCAATGCTCTACCAACTGAGCTACTGTCGCCCAAATAATTAACATTCTTTACAATTATACTATAGGGCTGGGAAAAGTTTAATTAAGTGGATATTCAAATAACAATTTGAATATATAAATAGGAAAAAAAAGATATTCTAACATATATTAGACTGCCCCAATATTTGAATATTATGCTGCCATGGGTTTTGTCGCTAACGGGTCAAGCTAGTTCTTCTTCACAAACGCAGCTCTACAGTGTCTCTGTGTCCCGAGACCTTCCACAGACTTAATTTAACAGCAATATGTGTCCACGGAGCTGCGCCATGAGTTTATTTTATTATTAACCAGAACTTCCGCATCGGCGAACATATTAGCAGCACTTTTTTCACTCACGGGAGAATTATATCTCAGACTGGAGGCATATGTTCACAAGCACTATGTCCCCCTTTGTCAGTCCTGGTTTAATCCTGCTTTAGCTCCTGTGTTGGCTGTTTTCAAACTGTTTTCGTGCTCTTGCTTTGGCCATTTCCAGCATGTGTCCGTGTGACCACGGACTGATTGGTTGCAGCCACCCAGGGAGATTACAAGCATTTATTGGTCAAAATAAATATTCAAATATTGTCACAATTTAATATTAATAAAACAATGACATTTTGATATGGTTTTTGAGCTTAAATCCCAGCCCTATACTGTGCTTTAATATTCCATTATATAAACGTAGAACTAATCCATCTCAACCCAAACCCATAATATTTTATTAAGCACTTTTGTTTAGATATTTCCCAAGTTGTTCAAAAATGGCATGGATATTTTTTTTTTATATTAAGAATTTAGCCAATAGCTGACCCATCTTCCCAATCATTTAAGCTCCATATAATATGATATAATTACTCAATTGCCCCCAAGAAATCTCTTACATCTCCGTCTGCTGGACAAATTCAATCAATCATTTATTATACAATATTTTCCTCATATTGATTTTTTTGCCAGTGCCAATAAGAACTCTGCTCCCATTCTCAGGCTTATGCTGACAGAGGATCGGCCGTCGACCTCTTGATTAAAAAGACCACATCTGATAATTGACAATTAGAAATGGCTGAATCTCATTCTCAATTAAAATTGATTAATTGCACAGCCCTGGTTGCTCCAATGGTTAGAATATGCTAATACTGTATTGTTTTACACTATTGTAGAGCTGTCGTAATTCTGTAATGGGAAATTTGCAACACATTGTAGTGGATAAATCAGGGCACGTTTTTCCAATGAGCAGTTATTCCACATTGATTATAATTACCATGGGCTGAATCATGTCAATTATGTATTGTAGGATAAATGGCCAAATCCTCCTGTTCAAATTTACGTTCTCAACAAATATTTTCCTCTCTAAAATTAGACATCTGTTTTTATTCACGGGGGAATAATAAACAAAGGGCCAGATTTATTTGTTGGATGCTGTAAAGAAGTTAATAGTTTCTCAGCCACCGTCAAACCACAATAAAGTCTTTGCTCTGGGGGCTCAATTTTATTTTTTTTTAATTTTTTCGGAGATGGATTGAAATACAGTCTGATGCGGACTTCTCCTCCTTAAGTCGGTATGTCGGAGTGTTTGTATTTCACTGCTTGGTTCGCTCCACAGCTGCTCTTAAGTCGCTGTTATTAGCCCTGGTTGATTTATGCAACGCGCTGAGCTGTGTGAAGAGTTCAGACCCACTCATGGTTCACTGCAAAGAAGGGAAGGATTTTTTGTAAGAAAACAAAGAAGGGAATGAAAATTGTATCTTGCAGAGATTAACCCGTACGGCCTGTTTTATACCTGATTTAGGTCATGCTGAAATCAGAACTGAAGCAGGACTATAACACACGTTGAAATCAAACACTCAAGGGAGTATAAATTAGACTTCTCAGACAGAAGTTTAAGATTAAGAGATCCTTTATTCTCCCCACGGTGCGGAAATTTCACTTTTGCATCAGTTACAGAACAGTATAGGAATGAGGAGCACGTAGCAAAAGATACGTGAACAATTACTCTATACTAAAATAAAATAAAACAAAATTACATTAACCAAAATCCTCTTCGTTTATAAGCAATAATTCAATCACATTTATTTAATTAAATCAATAAATATATATATATAGAAAATAAAACATTTGTAGGATAACAATACCATACATCATATGCTGTATTTTATTGTGTTGTATTTTGTAATGTCTGGAGATCACTTTGTGACACTCGTGTCTGGTTTTTGAAATGTGCTATAAAATATGACCTTGACCTTGATATTGATCATCACTGACACAATGATAGAATATCTCTAATAAAATCCATGTAACTAGTTCCTGGCTCTTATACAGTTTGGTTCGATCACTTCGTTCACATCTTTAGATCAGATTTTTCAGATGGAACAGTGAGTATGCTAATGAGATGATTTGGTCTTAATATTTCACTTTTACAACACTCCTTCTGTTAGACAAGCTACATGGATTATTTATGATACAAAAAGGGAGTTTGGAAGTCATTCAAATAAAGTAATTGTAACTTTTCACTCTGTAATCCAAACGCATTACAATCGGTGCTATTCCAACCCATGTTAGATCCTCACTCTTCCCTCCCGTACAGGCGTATTGCAAGCTGTGAGGTGATGGAAACCTATTGTCCTCTGGTCTCTCGCGACTAATGCAGTGTTTTTATGGGGCTACAGGAAATCACACTTAGATGCTGAGTGTCCGTGCATTTTCTCCTGTGTTGCAGCTAAGTTTCCAGCACAAAGTGGGAGTTCTCTACTGCAAGGCTGGCCAGAGCACAGAGGAGGAGATGTACAACAACGAGAGCGCGGGGCCGGCCTTAGAAGAGTTCCTGGACCTTCTGGGACAAAGGGTTCGGCTAAAGGGTTTCACCAAATACAGAGCGCAGCTGGATAATAAGAGTAAGATGTCACACTATTATATTACATCTATTAGAGCCACATGCAGCTGTCTGGTTTGTGTTGGATAAGCCTTTTATCTCAGGATCCCGCCTGGTTCTTTTCTATACGTTTGCGTGGCCAGACATCAATTCCATTATCTGTTCTATATAAAGACAGGAACATAGTCTCTGAAAGCAATCAGAGGAGAGAACGGTATGAGCAACACTGCCGGTTTGTGATGTAATAATAATAATAATAATACATTTTATTTATAATGCACTTTACATTTCAGGGAAACCTCAGAGTGCTACAAAAACAGGGAACATCCCCAAGATACACAACATAAAAACAATACATCAAATATAACATCAGGAAAAAATAAAAACATAATTACTGTACATATCTAGAAGGCCTGTTTGAATAGAAATGTCAATTGATGTGTGGGAAATAAGAGCGTCATAACTATTTTAAAAGACTGTAGCTTGTTATTGAGTTGATGAATAGAAACAAAGGTTAGAAAATTGACACCAAAGTAACATTGGCATAAACATTTCATCAGAATACATTAAGAACTAGATGTCATCTGGACATTAAAATAACTCCTGTGGGGGAATTATTACTGTACAATGAAAACGGTAAATATATTCATTCAAACCAGTTTTTATCCTTTTTAGTACAAGTATTAACGTTTGATTAAACCAAGCAAAATATTGCCTATAACGGCAACAAACTATAGTCCTACTTTGTATTTAGGATTCGCTAATGCTGCTTTTACACCGGATCATGTGTTGCGTTCTTTCAATGAAGTCAATGGCGACGCGCATTCAAGTCTCGGGATCCACGCACGAACTGCGCGGTAGAGACACACGGACTGTGCGGCAAAGGCGCAAGAGCAGAAAATTGATGCATGCAGGAAATAAATATTGCTGAACATCGCAAAATGGTCACGGGGACAGAAGCGGTCTGAGCGAGCAGACGGAACATACTGTAAACAACCAAAACAGGAGCTACACCCAGACTACAAACCAGGGTTGACAATGGGGGACAATGTCAACCCTGGTTCATTTTCATTAATTTCATTAATTCATTTATTTCAGGCAATGGCACAGGTGAGTAAATAAGGTAATTAAATGCAGTTAAATCATATAAATCATATAGTGCAAAAAAACATTATAAACTAAAAATGTATGTATAGTGCTTGTGAACATATGCGTTTTCATGCTCCCGTGACTTTATGCAACTGCTTCGAGCGTGTCCGCCGATGCGGAAGTACCGTTTAATAAACGACTTTAGTACTTTGTAATTTGTACTATGGTGTGGTACGACCAGGCTAAAATGTAACTATACATCAAACGTTATCAGTGTTGTGTATTACAAAGCATTTTCAACCCATTTTCAGGTTTTTTGTCACAATGCAGTCACATTGTTATGATTTTCAGATAAGACTATTTTACTGTACATTTCCTCACAATATCTAAGTCAATCTTTCTAATATGCTGAAACATTTACCTTTCCTTTCCACAGCTGACTCCACTGGGACTCACTCTCTGTACACCACCTACAAGGACTACGAGCTGATGTTTCACGTTTCCACTTTGCTCCCGTACACTCCCAACAACCGACAACAGGTCAGTACCACTCCTCAGTCCTATAGCTGTATCCACACTCCATGTTATAGTTTATTCCACACAGGCAATTCTTTCTGTCTTTATTTCCTCCATTTTTTCATGGTAATGCAACAAAATACCACAACAATCCAGTACAACAGTAATAAAATGAAAATCCATGAGAAAAAGGTAGGATTTTTGAACAAAAAATATCGTATAAAGTCCTACCCTATTTCATCCACCCACATTGTTCAGTCATTTACAAAACATTACACATGTTTAATTTCTCCTGAACTCTTTAACCCCATTAACTATATGCCATTAGTCTTGACCAAGCCTGGATGTAATTTTTGAGCGAAATCTTATAAGGGCCCACAGCTCAATAAATCCCAGTGAGTTAGCAGAGACCTGTCTCACAGAGTGGCAATTATCCCCACTCCTGTTTGTAATGGCAGCTCTGGCTGTAGATGTACTGCATGTTTTTTTTCCGAAAAGCCCAGCAACTATTCATCACTGCAGCGCATGAAAGCACGTTTTTAGGTACAACTCTCAAGGGGCCACTCTCGCGCCACACTAATGTCGAGGTCTTTGTCTAATGCAGCTAATGTGTTCTTGAGTAGCTCCTTTTTTCGGATATCAATAAATTCAGGCCCAGCTCCTGTCAATCCTCCCCCAAAGACTCGTTCTGCCATAGTAATGACCTATCAGCAGACTTCAGGAGCATTGCCATAGTAACTGTACCCCTCCAAAGCTTTTTAATCAATGCTTCCCCAGGGGCCGGACATGGAGTTGGCATTAAGGCTTTTGTGTCTATCTGTCTGCGCTAACAAGTGGAATTGAGTGAAGCTAATGGGGGGACTGCCAACCATGCCTGGGATGTGGTGGTGGTTGCAGTGGTTTCAGGGTTGGAACCTCAAATTGGCTAATATTTGAGTTAATTTGGAGCCTGTGGCAATAATTTACCAGGGTAGAGCTGTAGTCCACTAAAGAATTTCTAAAAGCTTGACCTATGAGCTGATAAATTGCCCAAAAGGGAGTGTGACATGGGTGGAGGGACAAAAAGTTGGTCTTGTGAACAGCTTCTTCAGATTAAGAGGGGTCAAATTCTTTATTCAAGTTGGTGATTACTTTCAATGTGTTTTCTTTGCTGCTGTGCTCAACCTTCATATTATGTGGTGATACAATCCAGCAATATAACAATCCATAAAGTGGATAAAGTTGACATGAAGTTTAATACTTTGTTTGATTAGAGTGAATGCAAGGATCTGTAATGCAGGTCAATTCTTGAATCTTGAATCTTGCAACTGTAGTAGTTGCTGTAGCTTGTTCCCTTCCCTAGTTCTTCCTTTGTACAATTAATTCCACTACAGTGTGTCCAAATAATCCGGGTATTTCTGTGCTTCTAAACATACAGCGAGTGCGTTTGATTTTCCTTCCATTGTATCTTTGCAGGATAGTGGGATATTGTAATTTAATCCATGTAGGTAATCTCTCCATCAGCTCTCATCCCTTCATCCTCTCCAATTCACCTCTGAGCCTCCTAATCCGACTTGTTTGGCGCTCCTCTTGATCCTTGCTGACAACTTCATAGCGAGCAGGGACTAGGGTTAACTAACTCCAACAAGACTACAATGCAAGCGCTCAATGGGGTGATGCTGAATATGGAAAAGTCAACTGGGAAAATAAATAGCTCTTTTATCTTTGACACCGGGGGTTGTACGTTGTATGGTCAATTTACCACCACTATATAGAGTGCCATGTTTATCTATATAAATAATTACAGTAGGTTTCTATTCTCAAAGGGTTTTTAAAAAGTAAGAATGCAAATTTTTATTAAATATGCTGTCAAAGCAACAAAGACCGATTTATCCAGGTTGCACTGAGCTGAAAAAACAGCACTTTTTAATGCCTTATTTTATGATTGAATAAGAATAATGGAATAACATTATGTACAGTATTTCTTTAGATTTCATTTATGCATGCGTTTTTGGCCTCTATCACATTTATAGATCAGCTTTTTCAGACAGAAACCAGTCTCATCAGCCTATAAGTTCTCAGCCAAAAGTGTCAAATAGTGACCCTAAAGTCTTACTTACAACAATGCAGGATACTAAATGTTTTCTAATGAGATAAAGACAGTATGTTGTGGACTGGGTTACGATTCCACCTCCACATGGACCCTTTCTGAGTGGAGTTTCTGTGTTCTCTCCCGTGTCTGCGTAGGTTTCCTCCAGATGCTCCGGTTCCTACCTCTAAAATAAAGGACAATGAAATGATGAAATAAAAAAGTTAGGCTTTTAGCAACTATTTCTCACCAACTACAGAGTGATCAACCACACAAGTATTATAGAAGTTAATGTTAAGTTAAGTTAAGTAAATACATACATATTAAGCAGCCTGCCTTCATGAAGCCAACATCAAAGTCCTAATACTTCCGTTCACTTTATCTCCTTTGTCTAAATCATATTTGTAGCTAACCACATTTATCTGTGCTTTTTACAGTTGTTACGGAAGCGGCACATCGGCAACGACATCGTCACCATCGTGTTCCAGGAGCCGGGGGCGCTTCCTTTCACTCCCAAAAACATCCGATCGCATTTCCAGCATGTGTTTGTCATTGTCAAAGTTCACAACCCGTGCACTGAGAACGTCTGCTACAGGTAAATTACTATGAATTTTTTTCTAGTGATAAAGGCGTGTGATGAAATGAAATAATCCCATCGACACTATTAGGGCAAACACGACGGGATCTAAAGCCAATGAAAGAAAACGTGTGTCTTTTGAAGTGTTTTGTTCAAATGTTTCCTCTGGTAAATGGCGGCATGTGAACTTTTAAAAGCACTTAATTTGAAAGAATAAAAATAATAGCCTGCTGGGTGCTAACTGCGGTGTCCCGACTTTGCAGAAAGCTGAAATTGCAGGTCTCTTTTGATGTGCTTGGTGATGCTACACTTATTATCTTCACAGACACCTTAAAAGTAATGATTTAAAGCACTCTCCTTTGGTGGGTGGAAAGCCAAAACCACTCTTTTTTTATTGTATAGAAGAAAGGTTGGCAAGTTTAGCACAAGTCATTTCCCTGCCGACACAGCGCTTCAAACCTAAAAGGTCCATTTAACTTGCGGTTCAATACCTTCCCTCGTTCATTGTCTCACTGTTCTCACACTGTAAGTGCTTGTTTTGATGTATTGATTTCTCCTTTTCTAGCGTGGCTGTCTCCAGATCTAAAGACGTGCCTCCCTTTGGACCGCCAATCCCAAAATTAGTGACTTTTCCCAAATCCGCAGTTTTTAGGGACTTTCTACTCGCCAAGGTCATCAACGGAGAAAACGCAGCACACAAATCAGAGAAGTTTCGGGCCATGGCAACCAGGACGAGACAGGAATATCTGAAAGACTTGGCAGAGAACTTTGTCAGCACTGCTACTATCGACTCGGCTGTGAAATTCAGCTTCATAACTTTAGGAGCCAAGAAGAAAGAGAAATTAAAGCCTAGGAAAGACGCGCATCTGTTCAGCGTGGGGGCCGTGACTTGGAGCGTGCGAGCCAGGGATTTCGGACAGTCCATGGATGTAGACGGCCTTTTGGGAATATCGAACGAGTTTATCGTGCTCATCGAAGAGGAGTCGAGAAACGTGATTTTCAACTGCTCCTGCCGGGACGTGATCGGATGGACGTCGGGGATTATGAGCATCAAGATCTTCTACGAGAGAGGCGAGTGCATCATGCTGTCGGCCCACGATAACTGCGGCGAGGACATCAGGGAGATGGTGCAGAGGCTTGAGGTAAGTCTTCTCAAAATCATATAGAGCAGGGGTGTCAAACCGGTTCCAGAAAGGGCCAGTGTGGCTGCAGGTTTTAACCCGAGCAGAAGCACACCAGACTCCACCCATTTCCTTAAATCTTCAAGATTCATCTGAGGAAATGCTTGGGTTGGAATTAAAACATGCAGCCACACCGGCCCTTTGTGGAAAGGCTTGACACCCCTGATATAAGTAGTATAGAACACTGTCAAACTTTGGTCTTAAAATCTTTCGTTCAATTCCTGATCAGACACTGAACCCTTGGAAATTCAATATAAAGACATACAGTATGACGCTAATGCAATGGCATGACTGCATGGCCTTTTCTCATTGGGCTGTCTCAATGTGTAATTGTTCCAACCTACCCAACAACTCATAAACATTCATTCATCATACACAAACAATAAGGAACGTATTAAACCCCGGCTGTATGTAGTTTAGCATCCCTTACCCATAACTTAAAAACGTATTCTCAACCAAAGCAAAACTTGATCAGGACCCCAGGAAAGAACTGAAATACTGTATGTGTTTCATCCCTTTTTGTTATGGATAATTATTACATTTACTATCATAAATAAGGATTATCACTTGTTGGCCACTGTTTAAATACAATACATGAAATAAACTGTTTAGGTACAATGCCTTTCAAAACAAGCATATGATTCGGTTCCCCACACGGCACGGAACCCTCACACACAGCTCGTTCTTGTCACAATGAAGCTTTGTTTAATATCTGTACTGAAAGTATTAGTTTATGTCACTTCATTTGGGCCCAACATTCTATCACAGTGGAATAGATTGCAATCATCATTTTGCAGCCTGTTTTATTGTTAGACACATTCTTAGTGAGCGTGCCACCAGTGATCTTGAGTCCTTAAACATCAGACCGTCTCCTCTTTAACCAGAAGCGCTGTGATAAATAACGTCCTAGCTTATGTTGTTTTTAGTCAGCCTGTTCTTGTACTTCCCTCCTCAGCCTTGTATCGCTGTAATATTTATAAACCGTTTGCTGTCTGAGCACAAGGCAGCCGACATCCCCAAATTATACTGAGAGTCTCGCTTTCCTTTTTAATTAGTAACACGTTTTGGGATAACAGCTTTATGCATCACCTTCCAAACTGTCAGCAGAACGTTGTACAAGTGAGAGTGGAGATGATAGTTCAAATGTTCCATCTTTATAGATTATGGATGAGATTCAGGTCCTGTACTCGTTAAATGATTGATGATTAATTATTGCGACTTGGCTATGGATCAGTAAGTTGTATTAAAGGGGCTTTGCGCAGGCCTCTTTTGGAAGTTCAACTTATTGCTGGGGTTCATCTAAATAATGATTTTCCTGAAATATTCCACAGTATTAAACATGAGTATCTAGCCCTAATTCAGAACAACAGATCAGAGAATCAAACAATGTGTACACTGGAAATGCATTAACAACAAACATTGAAGGGGCCACAGATCCACAATGATTCTAAAGTCACTGCATAGAGAATATTGCATTGGAATGAATGTTTTTACACTAGTAAGTAAGTAAGTAACCTTTATTTATATACCGCCTTTTGCAGACCGGAGTCACAAAGCGGTAAAGGTACAAGCGCCAGTACAGGAGGCGCATGCCAGACCTATTGTACATGTTTTCAGTGGTACAGGAGTGACCCGGATATATGAACTCCACTCAGAAAGGCCCTGTTTTGGGCCGGGATTCGAACCCAGGACCGAAGCAAGAGTGCTATCCACTCCGCCGCCCACTAGAACCCTAGTAATATACACATTCTATGCAATTCTGAGGTCCATTCCATGTAAAGAATCAACATACAGTATCCCTGGCAACAAGTGGGGATGTAGTCCTTGTCAGAAAACTTGGAATCATTTTGGGAAATGTACTTGATATACCAGTCTGAAATACATATTTATCCCTCACTAACATGAGAGTTGATGTTCAATTGCCATGGGAAATTGTATTCATTTTCCCAATATTAAAATGTCTCCATTATGTGTTTATTCTTGCAAACCATAAGTAAAGGGCCCATAACAGCAACAACACTACATCATTATGTCCTATCCATCTTGTAGTAAAACTTACAAGACAAGAATTGCTTTTATTCATGTTTTGTGTGATAGTTCCTCTCAGGCTCACATTTTAGTGTTTTACTTATTGTATTGTTTTTAAGTATCCCCAGTGTTTCCTCTGGAGGAGCCTTCTGCGCTGGGAGCGGTGGTTGGCTGTGGCTGTGGGGGTCGGACTCTTGGACCTGGTGGGGGCCCGGGGCCTCGGTTTTGGGTCTCCTCTGGGTCCTGTGTCGTCCCCTTTGGCTATGGGCGGCTCTCTGCTCCTGGCGCTGACGGCTCCTTGGATGGCGTTTCTTCAGCCGGTTGCATCTGAACCCTGCCAAGTCTCTTATCGTCGTTTTATTGTTTTATCGGTGCGTGTGTGTGTGCGCGTGTGTGTGTGTGTGGGGGGGGGGTGTTTGCTTGTGGTCTGGGGAGGGTCTGTTGGGCGGTCGGGGGGAGGGCATGGGCAGGATTGTTTTTATAGCCAAACTGTAAAGCACTTTGTGTTGCATCTGTTGTATGAAAAAGCGCTTTATAAATAAACTTTGATTGATTGATTGATTGAAGACACACCCGGGTGGCAACGATGCATGACCTAAACAAAAGAAGGCTATCCTGATTATTACAAAGGGAAATACTGGGCTGAATGTTGTCATAATAATTCCCAGTAAACTCTGGATCGCTACACAAGTCCCACACACACCCACAGCCCAGGCCGTTCAGTGGTAACATTTGCCTTCAGCTCAAATGGAGCAGTGAAGCATTTTGCAATTCTGTGGCCTCTCTGTGGTGAAACAATGCATTTTATGGATATTACTTTTGCCATTCTGGGCTCTCCGCTCACCACAGCTGCTCCTTTATTAGCATCAGTATTATTTTGCTTAACCAGTTTACAATTTGACAAACTTGGTCTCTTTGGAACTGGCTAAGATGCACATTGTTGAGGTAATTCAGTCACCTAGGGAAAAATGTGGAGTGACCTTTTGGTTATTACGGTTTTTTATCATATTATCTATTATTATGTCATGCGGTTGGTGGGAAACTGGTCCTCACTTCTCATTTTAATATCTGAAAACCTCCAATATAAATGCATTGGATTTTTATAAGAGGTCTATGGGCAGAGCAAATGAAGTGATATACAGCTGTCTTATAAGAAATCCAATTCAACAAATATTAGATGATTTGTGTGTTACTGCTGTTTGCAGTAAAACCACATTTTTCCACCAGAAAAATTTAGAAAAAAAGAAAAGAAAAGTTGTCACTGTGAAATCAATCTACAAAAATGATACAAGTGGAAATACTAGTGCAAGATCCTTACAGCATAACAAGGTGTCTTGCATCTCAGCGAACGATATATCTTCTGCTAGAAGGAAGAAGCTGGAACATGGCTTTTTCCAATCAAAATGTTTTAAAACGTTGATCCTCATTTTTCACAATTTGAAAACTTTAGCCCTTGGCACACAACAGCGTCAATCTCACCATACCTTTATCCATTTTTTTCTTCAAAGACCTCATTGCACCCGAGTCTAAAAACACCCCCACTCCGGAGAGGATTAAGCCGGCCCTCCTACCAACTGCTTTCTTTGGCTCATCGCACATAATCAGCCGGGGTTTACAGCCAGGCGTTTAGATTATAGCAAAAAGGATAATATTCTCCATGGACCAAATAGTCACACTAATATTAAAACCAATGCAATTTCATCAAAGCAGACACTTTGGTTGATAGAGAGATTAACGTGATCTGCGACACATTGCCAAATCATTTGCCGAGTGATGAATGGGTGCAGGTACGGCAATAGCAGCTTAAAACAGGTCACAATCCAGTTTTTAACGGGGATAAATGAAATACAGGGACTTTTTTTGGGTCTGACTGACTAAGAATAGAGTTGAAGTGCCCTAAGACTGCACAAACTACCCACTTATTCCAAAATCCTCATTCTTTTTCTCATCTAAAATGGCTAACTGCTGCAGTGCTATTTTGAGGTCAGCTGGTCTGAAATAGGTCATAAAAACACCTGGTTTTATTGGGGCACTCAGGCAGGACTTCAAGTTAACACATTGACAGAAATGAAGTGTAAGATGAGTTTTATTCTCTTATAGTTATAATTGCAAAGCCTTCCTGTAAGATTCTGTAGATCCTGTTCTGAGTTCTAAAATTACAATACATCTAAAGCATCTTTGCCGTCAGCCTCTTTTTAATTCAACATCAACTTCCCAGTGCTTTTAAATCAAAGCATATCTAACCTTTTGAGCGTTCTCTCTCTGCACGCCATGTAATTCTCATTGTATGTTGTGGCACAGTCAGCCAAGATATTTAATTTTTGACAGCTTAAACTTTACATGTGCCAATAAGTATACATTAAGTACACTCTTTTACTTGAGGAGAGAAATACAAAGTGACGTAAAGTCAGGTTCTAACCCCTTTATAATTGCTTTCCTTTCTCATTTAATGAATAATGATTCTGTTAAGCCAGGGGTCGGGAACCCAAAAGGTTCAAAGAGCCATATTTGACAAAAAAACTAAACAACATCTGTCTGGAGCCGCAGAAAAATAACAGCCTTGTATAAGGCTTTAATGAAGGTCGGCACTAGATCATATACGGAATCGGGACGAAACCGGAAGTAACAATCCTACTTTCGAATTAGTTTTAGACTAAAAAGTCCTTAAATGGTGACTGGTTAAGTTTATGCGTCTAATCAAGATGGTTAAGGTTAGGGTTAAGGCTGGGTTGGGGTTATTTTATGGTAATGGTTGGTTAAGTTTAGGCATGAATAGGTATTTTGTTATATTTACTTCCGCTTCCGTACTGATTCCGTATATGATCTAGTGCCGACCCTTTAATGAAGGTAACACAGGCTGAAGATGTATTAGCTATATTAGTCTAATATCTAAATGACAAAGTAAAGGCTACAAATACATAATAATCATTCATGATTATCAAATGTGTTTTTTCACTGTCGCGAATGACGCACCACGTGACGACTCTGCTTTAGTTTAACTTCCATTTTTTTTGCCTTCATGCAATTGTAGAAATACAGTAAAATAAATCTGCTTTGGGCTCAGAGTTCACATACCTGCATCACTGTCTGCTCATATCGATCACGTCACAGGCTGAAGTTTGCTGGAGCTGAATTAATATCCTTAATGGCCTTTTCTTTCACCGTATTTGCGAAGGTTTTGAAGTCTGAAAATAGGTGCTCTGAATTTTTGATGAATGAATCCTTCAGTGAACGGTGATTTGCGCTTCATTGTTCCTCGTGTTGCAACAAAACTTCTCATTACAAACATGAAGCAGTCCTTCCTCATTGACTGAAAGCAAATGTTCATTCTCATTTCTCGTTTTATCTTTGGGATCCCTGTGCACATACACATACATGCACACACAGCGGTTTGTTTACAGCGGCCGCCTGGCGCGGGGCCGCGTAACCGCGCGTCAAAGGATTTGAGGCACAACGTTGAAAAAAATGTTGAAACACATTTTTACAGCATTTAAAAACGTAAAGAACGTTTTTCCTCCTACTGAAACCACATTCAAACTAGAAATAAAATATAGCCCTCACACTCCATTTTCAGACATTTTTGAAAAGGCTCCAGGGGCACTCAAGAGCCGCATGCGGCTCCAGAGCCGTGGGTTGCCGACCCCGTGTTAAGCAATGCAACCCTTTACAAACCTTGCTATACTCTGAAGTGCTTGCTGCTAGTACAGTTACACCCATTCTCTATTTTACCATCCAGAGTTGATCTTTCCTTGCGTTAACTACGGCTAGGACACCATTGTATACTCGGCCTGCTTTTTAGATCAATATCACTTTTTAAAATGTCCAAATTCCATGATCTACAAGGAATCTGATTTGAACAAAGCGGCAAAGAAAAAGCCCCTCTCTGCAAGTATTAGAAAGTTTCATTTCAAGGATGCTTGGAAACTAGAAATCTTTTAAAAAGCAGCAGAAGCTCATTTGAATAATTAATCCTAATACAGCTGTCATTCACTTTGCACTTCTTTCATCCAGGAAAGGACAGTGCCGGATACATTAACATTTGTGATTAGCCAAAGGACATCACTTCCTCATTGGGTATGCTAATCTGCGCTCACTCGTGCCTCCTCGCCACAGGGGATTTGTGGAGGATATCTCACACGCGAGGCTCCTGCAGAAGTATTAATAAGCCTCTGATAGTGTTACTTGCACACTGGCTATCGTCGCTGACCACGCACACTATGCTGTCCCTGAGGTGTCTGTGTTTTTGCAGTCTAGAGATTGGGTGCGCTCCTGTTTCATCGGAGGGATTTAACAGGCTGCCGGACCTGTGATGCAATGCGAACCAATGACATTAATAGCAGCTTTAGGAATAGTTTGAGCGAGTAGTCCGGGTACTGGGATAAAAGCTTTGTGATGGCACACGCCCTCGGGCCTCCCGGGTAGCGCTGCTGTTGAGGTGGATGGATACATGTACTGCTTTTAAAGGCAAACCCCCTGGTGATAGTCAGTGTGAAGGCTATTTTTGTTTTGTAGAAATAGTGCCATTTAGTTTCTGATGTAACCTGGAAAATGACAGTATGGGCAGCAAGGACTTGCGTAATACAAGGCACTTTGGCTGTCATTCTTTACCTCGCGCAATGTTTAAGAAGATTGACTCTGTTACCATGGCATGCTCAACTTCCATGCGCTATATAAATAAACCTTACTTACTTACTTCAACAATGGCTCGAGTGGTTAGGAATCTCGCTCCACAGCAAGAAGGTCCTGTGTGTGGAATTGATATCGACAAATATACAATTATTTTCTTGATTTAAGGGGCCATGGTAATTGCTTGTTTGATGAGTAAAAATTAGAATTAAAATATTTTGAACTAATAAGTTCTTGCTCGACAAGTGAAGTTTTTACAATCTGTTAATAATAAAAAAACTAAATTAAATAATAAAAAACAAAGTTGGTAGATCTTTATGTGAAAAGACATATGCCACAATAGCACAAGATAGATTACTTTGAATAAGGACCCATTTTATATTCTCGAAAGATGCATGAAATTTGTGTCTATAATTAACATATCTGTGGCCATAGTCAAACAGACAGGATGAACAATGTTGTTTTGTCCACATTTTCAAAGGTAATTTACAACTCAAAACCTTCTAGATCCTTTACATGTCTCTTCCTGGTAAATGATAAACCTCTGAAAGCCCAAACACTCCACTCAAAGGGACCCAAACCCTGAGATGTGAGTCCCATGCAGCCTCCGCTTTGAGCCTAAGTGGACTGACACTGTTTTGTCAACACAGGCTTGCGAGTTTGAAAAGCCTGGTTCAGTGACGTCCAAACGGTTTCTTACTGCCAAAGGATGGTATCTGCCTGTTAACTCTTCCAGGGGGCAAAAATCCAAATAGTATTTTTTTTTTTGACTGAAGTCCATATTGATTTGCAGATTACATGCTGCTGAAAGATATGCACTTCTCACCACAACTACATAAGTAGAGTCATGAGCTTTACAATGGTATAGCATGCCTATGAAGCTGAAGTTGGCTGGATTCCACAATGAACTTGTGTTCATGAT